GAATCAGAGAGCGGTGGTTTCTGAATGGCGCAAAGCCCTGTCAACTCCGCTGTATAGACTAGATACTAGCTTAAAAATCCTTTTCAAAGCTGAGTCCTTATAGTAGTACTACGTACGTAGTAAGTTGATTGGTTCAAGCCCTGGTAAGATCCCTTGCGAGATTATACTTTCGACATTTTTATTCATGGGAGGGGGAGAAGTACTACGTATGATTGATGATTTAGCTTTGAAAGGTACTACGTACTACTACGTACTACTACGTACGTACTACCGGTACGTACTTATCTAATCTACGCAACAGAGTTGATAAGTAAGTAAGGGCCTGTACAGTAGCCATTCAAGAACCACCCACCGCTCTACGCTCTGTAAAGCTAAACCGGGCCCGACATGTACTACGTACTACTACCACGGTACAGGCCTAACTAAGTATCACCCCTGGTCGATTATTTCCCATGCCTCGAAGAAAGTGGAATTGTAGGTATTTCCCATGCCGCAACCCACTTTTTAAGTAGGCCCGCCCAGCCAAATCTACTCGCTGCTCTATACAGGAAAATATTTTTCAGTAATGCCGCTTATACTAGATTTATTTTTTAAAGTTCTCGATTTTTCATTTGAAAGCTATTCACATTTACAATTTTTTTTAAAAAAACAAAAATTTTTAATAGAAATAGATAAATACAATTCTATCGCTTATAGTAGTAGATCTCGGTGTAGCGCTGAACCTGATCGCGAATTAAAGATACATGTATGTTTTTAGTTATAGATATTAGCTTAGGAATCGATTTTAAAAGATACGCTATTCGCGCAATCAACGGTCTTATATAACGAATACGATTAAAGCATATATGTTTGTTTTTCTTACTTTACCGATACCGTAGCTTCTTTAATTCGAACGTCGTAGTTGCAACGAGCGCGCTACTTGCATGTATCGTCAAAGTAGCATACGTACTTTATATAAGTCTTCTTGCTATTCGAACACTTAAGCTCTTATCGCTCGTGGATAGCTTAATTAAGTACTGCGTCTTTAAAAGCTTTTAGATTGTAAAATACATCGCTTTGCTAAATTGAAACAAGTTTCTCTGAAGAATTTTTAGGAAATAAATCTATATTTATATTAAAATCGAGTATACCGAAGCCGAGGTCGTTAAATGTAGCGTCAAGCAGCGAGTAGATTTGGCTAGGCGGGCCCACTCAAAAAGTAGGTTGAAGCATGGGAAATACCTACAATTCCACTTTCTTCGAGGCATGGGAAATACGTAGTAATGAACCATTACCCTTCGAGGGTGCCTCGAAGGTTTGGTTTACACTTTAGACCCCTTGGTTACCCTACCCTCGAGGGGTAATACTTAAGCCTATACCGTAGGTATATTGACGTGCCTGCGTCAGGTCCCGATCCATATACTCCGCAGAGAAAGGCGGTCTTACGTAGCGTTGTTTAAACGTGATCGAGGCGGAGGGGTGGTATACTCCGCATAACTTTTTTAAATAAAAGCTTACGGAGTATTAAAGGAGCGAGAATGTACGTATCATCAGGCGGTAGTTATTCGGAGCGGAGAATAGTAAATCGTTATCTCTCTCTCTACCTTTAGATTAGCGAGCCCTTTTGTTTTTATCAAGAATTTTTCAAAACTTGTTTTTTTACTTATTATCGGCAAGGTCTGAGAAAACGGAGCGGAATATACTACACGTAGTACTGTACACCCCCTGCTTTAACCCCATCTTTGAAAATTTTCAATTAATCGCCTGGGCCGCCCTTCCCCTTACCTTTTAAACGTAGTAAGATCCCGTCCTTTTGAAGTGTCCGTGTTTTCCATGTGTCTACTTGCCTCAACCACTTAAGACTGTACTACCGGTACGTACGAAAGTAATAAAATAAAGTAATAAGGTCCGGGGTAAGGTTGAGCTTACGGCCGGGCTGACGCGTTATAGTAGGTACTGCTACGGTACTTACTACGTAGTACTTACTACCTACTTATCGTCAACCTAGTACGTCGTAAAGCTATAGCTAATCTAGCTCCACTGCTAACTATATCAAATTGCTATACCTACCTACTATGCTGCTTACAGCGTCGCAGCGAACAGCTAAGAAACCGCTCGGCAAAAAAAAAAAAGAAAAAAAAAAAAAAAAGGCGCTGATAAGGACCCCCACTCGCGTAGGAAACAAAGACCGAAAGCTACTACTACCTACCTACCGCTACCTATACGCGCGTATTTAATTTAACCTGTACGGAGTAAAAAAAAAAAAAAACAGTACTATACTTCCACTGCTAGTTTGCTTTACTGATTTTACGTAGTACTTCAAACGAAGATGGCATCCCGCGCTGGGAACTAAAATATGATATTTCTATCCGATTGGATATGCCCCCAAAACCCCCCACCCCCCCCCCCCCAAAAAAAAACGCTTGACTCCAGAGCGAGAACATCTTATTCCAATAACTCTCCAAGATCTTGCAAAACACACCCCGTTCCCGCTACGAAACTTCTCCATACAGTAGCAGCGCTAGTACCCGTATCACAGCCGTCCGACCGGAGCGTGGACTTGTCCTCGGGGAAACACAAACTGTGGTGGGAGTGGAGAAATAGGTTCGAGACGTTCTGGGACCGAGCGTGGGGGTTTGAGGACGGGGTGGGAAGCGATGAGGAGGGAGAGAGCGCGCGAGCGAGCGAGCGACTTCTTTATGGGTTGTACGCATATATACTTACATACATACATACTAGGTACATACATACATACATATGTTATGTTATGTCAAAAAGAAGATAAGAGGCAATCGTGTGAATTTTTTTTCCCTTCCCTTTCCCTATCCCTTTTGCACAAGTATGAAATTTTCGCGCGTGTCGGTCGGTATCGAAGTGAGTAAATGTATATAGGTACACAGATAGGTAGATATACATTTTTCCTTCAGCCCGTGGGTGGGGAGACGAACGACCGAACGAACGGGCGGAAGAAGTACGCGAGGATTTTTCTGGAATGTTGAGATAGATATATGGATGGATGGACCGACCGGTGTGGAAGGAAGGCCGGGCTACCTAGACTTTTACATCTATCGCGACTACCACGAAAGTTATCATGGTGTTTGATCTCATTCTAGTTCATACCTATAGAGATTGTAATCTTTCAGCGCGTTGCAAATTGTCTTCAAATCCGACTTTGACCTGAGGATTTTCTGTCAACGCCGTCGCTCACAAATTTTGAAATTCAACTGTGAGCGGATATTACCCCTACACCCCTATACCCCCTCCACCCCTCCACTTAGTAGACAAACGCAACCTGCGCCAACGGCAACCTCTCCGCCGGCTCACACGTAGCATGCACGCCATCAGCCTCGACCCGGTAATTCTCCGGATCCACCTTCATCTTCGGCATCACATCGTTGTACTTCATGTCGCTCTTGCCAATCTTCCTGCAGTTCCTGACGGGCTCGATGCGTTTCTTGAGGTCGTAGGAAGCGATGGTACCGGTTTGGATGGAGGACTGGGAGACGAAGAGGACGGAGGTGGAAGGTACGAGCGGGGCGAACATGGGGCGAGCTATGATGGGCTCGACGGTTGGGATGGACGCGTTGGGGTCGCCCTAATTTGTCATGTCAGTATGAGTGGTCAGGTAGGCGGGGGGGGAGGGGGGTGGAGGGAGGGGCGGAGGAGGAGGAGGAGGAGGAGGAGGAGGAGGAGGATACCATCTGAGCATAAGCGATCATCCCACTCTTAACAACAGTCGTCGGCTTCGTTCCAAACCAGGCCGGATCCCACACTACAAGATCTGCCAGCTTGCCAACCTCAACACTGCCAATGATGTGGCCCATACCTTGGGCAATAGCGGGATTGACAGTGTACTTGCTTACATAGCGCTTGACTCTGAAGTTGTCTGCGCCAGTGCCTTCGTCTTCTCTGAGGGTGCCGCGCTGCACCTTGTTCTTGTGCGCCGTGTTCCAGGTGCGGAGGATGACTTCGCCGCAGCGGCCCATGGCTTGCGAGTCGGAGGACATCATGCTGATGGCACCGAGATCATGCAAGACGTCCTCGGCCGCGATGGTTTCGGCGCGGATACGGGATTCGGCGAAGGCAACGTCTTCGGGGATATTTTTGGACAGGTGGTGGCAAACCATCAACATGTCGAGATGCTCGTCGAGTGTATTTCGAGTAAATGGTCGCGTGGGGTTGGTAGACGAGGGGAGGACGTTGGCGTGCTCGACAACGCTGATGATATCTGGGGCATGACCGCCGCCAGCACCTTCGGTATGGTAAGTGTGAATAGTCCGGTCCTTGATGGCCGCGATCGTGGCTTCGACGAAGCCGGATTCGTTGAGGGTGTCGGTGTGGATGAGACACTGAACATCGAGCTCGTCACAGACCGTGAGGCAAGAATCGATAGCAGAGGGGGTACTGCCCCAATCCTCGTGGAGTTTGAGGCCACAAGCTCCTGCAACGACTTGCTCGCGTAGAGCGATGGGAGAACTGTCGTTTCCTTTACCAGTGATTCCCAAATTGACTGGCAACGAATCGCATGCTTGGAGCATTTGCCGCATGTAGTTCTTGCCTGGAGTACAGGTCGTCGCACTCGTGCCAGCACTATCTGATGTTAGCCGAGTCCGTCAACACTGATATGTGAATGAATACCTTGGACCAGTCCCTCCACCCAGCATAGTCGTGATACCAGAAGCAATAGCCTCATTGGCCTGCTGAGGGCAGATAAAATGGATGTGCGAGTCAAACCCTCCCGCTGTAATGATCTTGCCCTCCCCGGCAATAACATCCGTACAAGACCCAACGATCATATTCGGCGAGACCCCCTCCATCACATCCGGATTTCCCGCCTTCCCAATACCTACGATGAAGCCATCCTTGACCCCGATATCAGCTTTGTAGATACCGGTCCAATCCACAATCAACGCATTCACAATCACCAAATCGAGGGAGACCTCATCCGAAACCCCAGTAGCTTGTCCCATGCCCTCGCGGAGGGTTTTACCACCTCCGAATTTGCACTCGTCTCCGTAGGACGTCAGGTCTCTCTCAACCTTGACCCAAAGATCCGTAAAGCCCAGCCTAACCGTATCCCCAACCGTCGGCCCAAACATCGTCGCATAAGCCGCCCTGTCCATCTCAAACGCACTGATATGCGCCGCATCGCCCATCGGCTCCGGGCTATGCGCGAACCCGCCTTGTTGGAGCTTATCTACGATATCCTCGACACGCGAGAGATCCAATTTGCCCGTGGCCAGATGGTTGCCGCCGCGAATGACTCTGTTCCCACCAATCTCAACCAAGTTAACAGTCTTCGTATCGCCAGGCTCGAAACGGACGGACGTTCCAGCTGCGATATCGAGGCGGTACCCGTAGGCTCTTGCGCGATCGAAATCCAGTTGGGGATTCGTCTCGATGAAATGATAGTGTGAACCAATCTACCACTGTCAGTTGCTTCCCCCTCACCACCCTCCCCTAGGTCCGGATATCGGTAAGGAGGACACACCTGTATCGGCCTATCGCCCTTACTGGTAACCCTCAACCGGATTCTCTTCCTCCCCTCATTCAGCACCACCTTGCCCTTCACCACCACCACCGCGCCCGGCTGCTTCTCTGCCGCGTACTCCACGCCTTCGGGCAGCGCAAATGCGGACGGGTCTGGAATGGGCAGGAAGCTGCCGTACAAGGCCTTCGCGAGATCGCCGTCGTCACTGGCGATGGGGTGGTGTACTGTAACGAGGTAGGTGCCGGTCGGGAACGTGCCTTCGACCATGATCTCGGTGAGGGTCGAGCAGACGGATGGCAGGACGTGGCGACGGCCCAGCATGGTGGCGCCGATGGACATGAGGTCCGCGACTGTGTGGTTGCCATCGCGGATGAGCTGAGGGGGGTGGTTAGCTGGTGGTTTGCTGGAAGGTGGGGGGGGGGGGGGGAAGGAGAACCTCTTGCAGATTGTTTGCGATTAAAGCCTGCAGAAATTTGCAATTTCTTTTAGTTCTATGTCAAGAATAGGGAGGAAGAAAATATATTACGCAAGCTTCTGTATGGTTGAGCTTCACGCCTCGAGCCAGTCGTCGTTGGGCGAGCAGTCCAAGCTGCGAGATGACAAGCTTATCGAGCTGTACGGAGCAGAGGAGGAAAAGCCCAGTTAGCGATTAATAAATGCACGTCCTTGGTCATAATTAGACTGACTTCTTTTGGAACGAGATGCATCTCGAAATATGGTCTGCCAACAATGGCGACTTCAAGTCCTCGGAGATATCAACTGGACCCAGGAAGCCAGGGAGCTGGTCTGGTCTGATCTGAGCGCGGTGTTACCGGTACTTGCCTACCGGTACTTACCAGTACCCCCCCGCAGTCAGCAACCGGACAGGGATTTTGATAAAGGAGAGTAAATAAATCCATTCAAGATAAGTAGAGAGAGACAGTACTTCTTGTCAACATTATACTAAATAAGCAAGAAGACACTTCACAAATGTCTTCACAAAAGTTTTCGAATATATCCTATGCATCCGCTCATTCGTGCTACTCGTCCAACTCCAACCAAGATCTGTGCTAGCAAGCCACTCGTTGAAATAGAGCACTCCCCCTCCTCTGTACAGCATCATCAACCTCACAACCGACTACCGGTATGATGGCAGGTAACTCCAAATCGCTTCATATATACTCCAAGGTATTTGCCAGCGCCGTAAAATGGCATTCCATGCCATGCCATGCAATGCAACGCTAAATGCAATCATTCAGAAATCTCAAAACAACACAAATCCCATCGGCATCAGAATCCAGGGAACGCATTGGATAAAGTATTCAGCCCTATGCGATTGTCAGCAATCATCTCGGGCGGGACAGGGAGAGATCAAACATACACCTCGGTGGCTGTCGTTCACGCACGAGATCGGGATCTCGTAAAGGAACTTGCGCAGCCTCCAACTCGCGAATTCTGTAACCAACCAGCTCTTCCCTGGACAGCGCTTTGCCCAGAGTGTCATATTGCCCACAGCCCGATGGTTCATGATTTGCAACAAAAACTGGCTGTGGCTGATCAGGTAAGGGCGGTCTTGCTCGTCGGACAGACGGCGCGCTCCCAAGATTCCTCCTGATGGTAGCTGTGATGTCTTGGACTCGCCTTCTTGTACCGTACGCCTCGAGGTCCTCATCATCTTTGCCTTCTTTGATACGAGATCGTACTTTCCGAAGATTACGTTCTCGTCGAACCATAGCATTGGTAATTCTAGTCGGACAGCACCCGAGAGGCAGTGCACTTTTTTTGCAGATCGGGCACAGAGAACTACTGCAGGATAAGAATGTATCGATACATTCCGGGTGGAAGATGTGCCCGCAGGGGAGCTCTCGGATCTCCGAGATGCCCGACTCAAAGTCTTCTAGGCATATTTCACACGTAGGCTGGATGTACGGAAGAAACGTATGGGCAACGACAGCCGGGACATAGGGGGTGCTGTCATCAATCGGAACAAGCTCTGGTATCGTGGAATCATTAGATGTGGAGAGGGCGTAGCGAACTTGATATTCCGACCCGGGACTCGTGGAACATCCATCTGCAAGGTCGTGTCGCTCAATGGTGGTAAACACTGTCTCTGCTTTCTGTGGGGACATCGGAGGCGAGGCCTCGTCTTCAGAAGTATAGATGAACAGTGGCAGACGTTCGATCTCCGACAGCGGAATCTTGAGCCGCTTGATGCCAAGAGCCTCGAGGTCTACTTCCCCGTTTACTACCCGTCGATGAAGGGACTTCCGGCGGGCTCGTTGCACAACATGCATGACAGCCGAAATCCCGCCGAGACAGATCATCAGAACAGCCGAGATCACTAGGAAGTAGACCCAGAGTCTCGGGAGAATTGTCTTGTTGCCGAGTCTAATCTGGGTATAGAGCCTGACATAGTCCCTGGGATCAACACCAGGCACTTCTGTGAGTTGGTGTCCGTAGGGTACTTCAGTCATATTTCCCGAGTACAGACTGAGTTGGCGCATCAAAGTAGAGCCCAGAACACCGGGAACGGCATACACCGGGAATTGATGCTTGGTTCTCCAGGCTCCTCCATCCCGAAGATCCCATGCGGATGAGCCGGAAGGCGGTGTAGTTGGATCTGTGACATTGTTTGCTTGGTAGAATATCAGGGCCCGTACGGGATCCGAACGGGCTGCCCGCATGTATGACAATGTACATTCCACGCTGATCCACGGGGCCAGGGCGACGAGCGTGTAATCGGTCGGAGCGAGGTTTGCTTGCCGGGTAACGTTTGCCGGGACGTATTCTTTCGAGACGTTGAAACACGCATCGTCCTGCTTGAGGTCGGGCACGTAGAGAAATCCACTAATTTTTCCGTCCAGGTCCGCGTCGCGCGTCGATAGGGTCTCGAGGTTCTTCTCGGCCCGTTGCGCAAACGAGATGTTGGGCTTTTCCACGACAGCGTCAGTCACGACTCGATGCGGGGGGTAGATAAGGAGGCAGAGCGACAGGGAGACAAGGAACCACATACCCGTAGTCGTGACACGACGGACTCGGGATTCCGACTACTCCACTCATCATTGGGAAACAGCAAACTGGTGGAGGGTCAGTGATATTTGCTTGATTAAATTGATTACAGCTTGGCTGAGGCGCACAAGCAGCAGTAGGGCAGGGCAGTGCAGTACAGGACATCGGGGGGTCGTTGTCTACACCGGATCACCGCGGAGGGGGCGACGGTGAGGTTTGGTGAGATTGATGAAGTTGGTGAAGTTGAAGGAGAGAAGGAAGGGAAATAGGTGAATACATACACAAAAGTCTCGATGGCTCGGATCGCTATCATCAGGGCTAACGGGGCAATCTCGTCTCTTTTTCTTTTTCGTCAGCGGTGGGAAGGGCCGGTTTGGATTTGACGGGCTTGGTGGGCTTGGGGGGCTTGGTGTGCTTGGTGGGCTTGATGACTGAGCCAAGGGCTTGGGAGGAGATGTAACGGATGCCGAGAGATCTTGGCATATCCCAGCGATCGGGCCAGATGGGGGAAGATGGGGGGAGATGGGGGGAGATGGGAAAGGAAGTATGTCATGTGATACAGTATCACCAAGGGTATACGGGTACGGGTACGGGGATGGAAGAGGGAAGGAACGGTAGTAGTCCTCTGCCAAGAGACCAAGAGACCAAGAGGCCAAGAGGCCAAGATGATACCGCAAAGCTTATCTGTCCCGTCTGCCCGCCTGTGCTGTGCTGTGCTCGGTTGGTCTGAGACACGGGACGTGGCAAGTCTGGCAACGGTACCGGTACTGTAACAAGGGATTCCGCTAGCCACTCAGTCACTCGAGAGTGATCCCATTCATCGGGAGACGAGACCTGTCATCTTCACTCGGGATAATGCCGCAAAGCATTGGAATACGGTACCGGTACCGGTACCGGTAATCATCAGCCTGGCACATGACCACACTTCCATTTCTGCCGACCTCATAAGTACAGTATTGCTACTTTCGAATCCACGCCCTCCGACCCAGTACTGTAGAATGCTTACCATGAGATCCTTGCGCAGCTCAAGCCTCCGTTCGATATCCCCCATAGAGTCTAATATCACGTGATCTCCACCCAAAGTACCTGGGTGTGTGTCGCAGTCTCAACACACCCACTGCAGTGACCCATATCGCAAGTAAAACAGAGCCCACGACTCAAGCCTCAAGTCTAGACACTCCCATCAAGACTCCCACACGTGTGCCTTGGATCGGTCAGACAGCCAAAGCTCTGCTACGTAGAGCCTTGAAGCCTCGGATTAAACTTTCCGCGAGGGCCCGCGCGGCTGCTGCGCTTGCAGGTCCACTCCAAACCACACCACATTACCGGTACATCACGTAAACTTCAGTGATGTGACGTCTTTCCAACTCCGACTCCAACTCCGACTCCAACTCGAGCACCATCTTCTGATTCCCTCAACTCCCACTCAAGCGCAGGATCAAGATGCCACCTCCTCTCCCAGGTCAGAAGGGGACGGGCAAGAAAGGCCGCGACCGCCAGTCTCGTAGTCGCAATAGCACCCCGAGCCTTGTCTCTCACCATCCCGACAGTGGCGGCTCAACTGCGCTCCTCGAGCTCCCCATCGCCAGCTTCCAGATTGACGACGAGATACTCGAGCACACTGGTGGCTCCATATCCAGCTCCAAGGAGCTCGAGGCCTTGCTTGAGCGCTTGAACAAGCTGGTTGCAATCGTCGAGACCCGAGGAAGTGTATGCGATCGGGGCATGAGAATGGCCAATGAGCTGCGTAAAGCTCGAGTGCAAGAGATTGAGAACGATAGGAGAGATGAAGAGCGCAGGGAGAGGCTGAAGAGAGACGCCGCTGAGGAGGAGGAGAGAGGGCGGAATAAGAAAGCCAGCAAGATGAAGAAGAGAAAGGATGCGAGTACTGCGCGTGAGGAGAGGCCTTTGACCCATGGGGCGCATGGGGTGGCACCTCAAGACGGTTCTCACACAGGTGAGATGAATTTTTCTTTTCTGTTTTCGCTTGTCCGCCGTGTTCAGTTTTGCCTAGTGGTGTCTAGTCGACCATCCATCGACCATCGGATTCCGCGCTAGTGTAGCTCTGTTACTATCCACAAATTCCGGCCCCACACCGCACTCTTGCTGTCTCTGTTCTGCTTTCCATGTGTTCCTCGCTGACATAGCACAACCAGAACGCTCCGCTCCATTGCAGGATAAGAAACACGCTCGCAAGATATCTCGAGAACGTGACAACGACTCGGCCAGCTCCTCTCTTTCACCACTTCCAGTAGCACTGACCCCCGCTGCCTCAGCAATGGATCTCGACAGAGACGACAACGCTGAATCAAGCTCGGACGAGCATCAGCCACTACCGGCACCTGCCTATCCCGCAGAGCAAACCTTTGGACCCGACCCCTTCTCATTCCCCGATCCCACTGTCTACGAGATTCTCCCTGCGTGGGAAGGCATGACAACCGACGAGAAGAAGGAACTCTACTCTGTCGCCAAATTCCCATCGCGCACCCTCGAGGAGTATATCCCTGCTTCGCCTCCCGACAAGGACTTCAGCAACGCGAAGCCTACCAATCAGGTCCAAGCTAATACCTTCGCTACCCATATTGAGCCTTTCTTCCGTCCATTGACCGAGGAGGACCTGACGTTCTTGCGTGAGAGAGGAGATCGTGTTGGCCCCTTCAGTATCGCACGTCGTGGCAAGAGGCATTACCTTGAAGTCTGGGCGGAAGAAGATGGCGCGTTGTCTGCGGATGGGCCTCAACCAGGTCGTGACAAGCTGCCACTCAATCAAGCTCGCGGTGATATCGAGAGCATGACCGATCTCATTGGCGAGAGTGATCAGATCTCTGCTGGCCCTATGCTCGCACGCCTACTAGCTACGATGAGACCGGAGCACCGAGCACCTGCTGAAGAGAAGACCCATGGCGCGAATGGCGACGTCGACACCAACCCTGACGGTAGCGATATCCTCAGCGATCCTCACGACTCCCAAACCCTACCGCCCGCCACCTTCATGGCCGACTCTAATTTGGACGCCTGGAAGAAAGCCACCCACCCCAAGCTCGACCAGCAACAGGTCGACGAGCGCATCAAGCAAGAGCTCCGCCACATCGGCTTCCTCGCCGCCGACGACGAGCCCGACTACGACGGCCACTACGATGATGAGGTTGCCGCCCGCCTCCGCTCTCTCCAGGCGCGCCTCAAGGAACAGTCCATCATCAACGCGGCGCGCAAGGCCCGTCTCATGGACATCGCCAAGGACCGCATGGCCCACCAGGAGTACACCCACATCCTCGAGGATCTCGACGCCCAAACCCAAACATCGTATCTGAAGCGCACCCGCACCCTTGGCAAGAGCAAGAAAGCCAAGCGCCCTGGCGGAGCCGGAGGCGGAAGCAACGTTGCCGCTGGCAATACCGGTATGGCTCGTCCCGGTCTCGGTGATGGCGTCAAGAACTTGATGGAGAAGCGCAGCAAGTGGATTGACACGGTCGGGAGCGTCTTGGACGAGGAGTCGATCAAGGTTCGGCGAAGCAAGGATCCTGAGAGCTCGATCTTCAAGCCGGAGGATATGGCGGAGTATATTCGGCGGGAGAAGGAGACTTGGGCTCAGGAGGTTGAAGATGAGGAGTGAGTGAGTGAGCGCTTTCTCGGCTTCGCTGACTACTTGATGATACGATGCTGAAAAAAAAAAATTGGGGTGGTGATAATCTGGGTCGGGAGGAGTTCTGGATGGTCTGGAAGGCATGGTCTGGATGGCATAGTCTGGATGGCGTTCTTCATGTCTTCATCACGCATGTATGGTGCATATCTCTAGAGGGAATGGGAAAAGAATTGTATTTATATTTCTATCCGAGCGTGGGGTGGAGTTGGCTGGCCGGGGGCAAACAAAACTAGATGGCAGCAATTCTCACTGCCTACGTACGGTATGCTCACTGAACAAGTCAAATTCTCAATAGCAGATCTTGACCCCCGCGATGCGATGCAGCCAGCAGACCGTCAAGCGATTGCCGCTTTGCTTTTATCACCCGTGCATGCTCTCACACTCTATCTACTCCTACCTAGTCCCTCTCCTCGTTACCCCGTTTCTCTTCTCTCTCTCGTATAGTAGCGTATAGTATAGTATAGTAACAGGAACGAGACGTGCAAGACCTTGTTCAGAGAACAATCTATCGCTGCTCAACAGATAGCAAACGAGGTGGTACGCTTTCCCCGCCAAGTTCTCATGAGAACCTTGCTGATGCTTCTAGCTGCCCCGAGCCCCTTTGGAGCGTTTCGCAAGAAGGAGGAGGCTGCTGAGGAGAGGGGGAAGGCTGAAGAACATGGAGGTGAAAGTGAAGTATCTGGGGCACCTGATTAGACGCGGAAGGCTGGGAATGGAAGTTCCAAGGGCAGTAAGGATTTTGCAGGGTGAGAAGCGGGCTCGTATTTGAGTCTTTGCGTTGGCCCTGGTTTGAATACGCGAGTGGGCGGAGATCTGGGGTGTTGGCAGTGATGATAACTAACTGGATTGATGCATAGGCGGGATGAGTTATGGAAGCTATGAAGCTATGTAGGTACAGTAACAAGATGTAGGTATAACGCGTCAGAAGTCTACAGACTTGAGATATAGGTCTTGCCAGGCAGACATGAAATGGAGTACATAGAAGCGGATATCTTGTGGCCGAGAAGCGCACATTTTATTTGAGCCATAAATCTCTTAAGACCGGTTCATCTCGTAGTCATACATTAAGGTCAAGTCGAACTCACTTGGCTACCCTTGGTTGTACAGGTCATGTGAGTCCGCGCCGCTGCCGAGACTTCGCGTTCTTTCTTGTATCAAGGCGAGCAGCCTTTCACCCACCATATGAGCAGAGACTGACATCCTTTTGTTCTGTTCTCTCGAACCGCCTCTATCAATCATAACAACTCGTGCCTGACTTCTCTTCTGTCCACGGTATAGCCGACTTCGAATCTCCTTTATGCCTATGATAATTATACGCTGTCACCGACCGTCATCGCACCATGTCGACCTTCAAGGGCGTAATGGAAGGGTTTGAGGATATCAGAGGTGGGTACAAAGTCATCGTCTTGTCGTGTTTTCTTTCTTCTTCTTCTTCTTCTTCTTCTTCTTCTTCTTCTCTAGAGACTGAGACTTATTGATTGATTGATTGATTGATTAATTGATCGGTGCATCACAGTTGACTACTTCCGCCCTGCTGCGGGCCTTGCACCTCCCCGTGCCTGCTTTCTAAGTCACGTGCACAGCGACCATCTGGCGGGTCTTGATTCGAAGCACTGGAAGACTTCCTTGTACGTGTAGGCGATCTCCTGGTGGTGAAGAGATGATATGGGTGATATGGGTGATATAGGTGATATAGGTGATATAAATGTGTGTGTTCTGACTCATATCCTAAAGTATCTACTGTTCACCAGCTACCCGGGAGATCCTCCTGCGACTTGAGCGGAGAGTGGACCGCGTAGGCTTCGAGATGAAGACCTTGGCGGCGCGAAAGGTGCAATACGGACATCTGGAGAAACTCCTGAAGCCGATTCCGCTCGGGACTCCCACCCAGATTGAGCTGAAGCCTGGTGTCACACTGCAAGTCACGCTGTTTGATGCAAACCACTGCGCTGGTGCGGTTATGTTCTGTACGTTTGGCTGAATTCCCGGTGGCATTTCCCTGAACTAGAACTCGGTGTAGTATTTGAGATGGACAATCTAGCGGTTCTGTACACTGGAGACATCAGATCAGAGCCCTGGCATGTCTCCTCTCTCGCCCGGAATCCACTCTTGCTTGAGTATACATCAGGCATCAAGACCCTAGACTGCATCTACCTTGACACCAGCCGTACAGACCAGTCCATCTTCCCTCCCAAGGCCGACGGGCTGAGGGAGCTCTTGCAGAAAGTGTTGCAGTACCCTGCGGATACCATCTTCCACCTTTCAGCATGGACTTATGGATATGAAGAGGTGTGGATGGCACTATCAAAGGCACTCAAATCCCAGGTACGCTCCTTTTCAAGACTCATGCCAAATCTGCTGATCGTCCCAGATCCATGTTAACAAGTACACGTACCGAATTTTTGAATCGCTACGAGGGGCGAAAGAGGACAAGAAGAGACCACCCACCGAGTTGATGATACAAGAAGGACCTACCTTCGCCGGCTACACCTGTGGGAACAATTTCCAACCCGGCTGTCTTACCACTGACCCCAATGTTCGCTTACACTCATGCGAGAAGGGTATGAAATGCCCAACGCTGGGCTCCAAGACCGTGTGGATTACGCCCATTGTCAGATGGAAGGATGATGCAGCGGAGGTGCCAGAGCCCGAACCTGCCGTCATCCAGTCTGGTAACGATCTCAGCGGAAGTCCTCAGATCGAGTTCGATGATAACGTTACGATAGACCAGCTCATGCTATTGTAAGTTGCGTATGCATTATCCTTCGGTCTCACATCTGACACTGCTCAGGTTTCCAGATGCAGATCCATTGATCAAGAGAGAAGTGAGACGATTTCTCGTTGCCGCCCTCGAATCACCTGGCCGAGCTTTATTCCTGAGTGACTTGGGGCTGGGTGACGAACAGGAGGAGATCTCCCTCGACCAACTTGGGAGGGCGATTGTGCGATCTGTGACCGAAAAACAGCAAAACGCCAGTACTCGCGAGGATGGGCAGGATGGCCAGTCTCTACCTCGGACCGTTAACTTCCCTTACTCCAGGCACTCGTCTTACCCGGAATTATGTGAACTTCTGAAAATCTTCACGCCAAAAGATGTCTGGCCGTGTACTGAGAATCCGCTCAGCTGGCATGAAGGTGCGTTCCCCAGGTGTCATTCGTTGAACGTTCAATGACTAGTTTGCAGATAGTCTCAGCATCAGGGGACTCTTTGGCTGTTATTGCTCGGCACAGATTTTCCGCTATGATGCGGAGATGAAGAAGGCTGTCGCTGAAGCTGAAGCTAGAGACCGGTATACGATCCAACAGACTCAGACGACAGAAAGCTCGCAACGATCGCTCGATCCACCTGGTAGCAGTTCACCTTGTCGTCGAAATAGCGATGCCGAAGGAGCTTTGCACGTCAGCCCTCGCGCTGCTATGGGAAAGACAAATAGAATACACCCTGTTCTCGGGTCTGCAACTGATAGCTTGGGATCAAGTAAAAACCCCGTCGAGATTGACGAGTCTCCGCCTACACGCAAGAATTCGACTTTGGTGAGGTTGCAACGGGATCAGGGAGGGAAGCTAAGACCTTACAACGAGAACGGCAACGAGGTACGATTATCACGGAAGGTTATACCACGAGATAGATCTGCTGGACCAGAAAGTCTCCGTCGCAAAGAGGCTCCCGTTACGCTTGAACAGAACAGCGCAAAGCGTTCACGGCCTACGCCAGGGGCACCGCAATGTTCCCCCAGAGATAGGGACCAAAGCTGTGATGAACAGTTGCCGTTGGTCATATCAAATGATCAAGCAGAAGAACTTCGCCGCCAGCACGGTACGCCCGCCCCTGACTCGGCTGGCAATGACCATGCGAATACTTCTGGCTCCGGAACAGACGGTGAGCAATCTGATGGCGTAGAGCCAACAACATACCATGACGCTATCGATGAGATTTTCCGCTGCATTTCTTGTGGTCACGAGGTCTGGGGAGGGGAGGAGGGCTACTGCATGGGTTGTGAGACCGGAGAAGACAGTCTTCCATATTTCGAAGACGCCCAGGAAGGGCCTTTACCGCAAATCGCTCTGGATGCATACACCGACGACCTTATCGTTGAGCACGAGGACGTCCAAGCTATAGTTGGTGCATGCCTCGACTATGACTCCTCGGCGTATGATTCTCAAGACTCGGGCGACAAGGATTTCAACGAGGATTACGAAGAGAACAGCATGATAGACAATGCTGAAACCCCGGAGCCCGAGTCCGAAGACGAGCCGTCGTCAAGCAGCGCCGATGTTGACTGGGAAGCAAAGTTCCGAGAACTTCAAGCTCAACATAGCCTTCTGGAGATCAAAGTTGTGGAACTCCACGGCGAGCTTCGGAGAGTCGCGGTTGGCAGCGAGGACTTTGAAGACAGCGAGGTGTTTGAGGATGATGTGGATGAGGATGGCATACTGATGGTTGAAGCGGCTGCTCCCGAACCGACTGTGACGGAGATTGTGCTGTCACAGGCGAGAGGGCAGTCTCAGGAGTCGGAGATCTCGGAATACCGTATCCTCAGCCGTGCTGAGGCCTTTGAGGCGGCGAGGAGTGGTGGTTGGCATGATGTTTCGACCGGTCTGGCTTCCGTCTCCGGTCATCACCAGGAGGAGGAGGTTGAGTTGTGAGGTCCCTCAGTCGGTGGTGCATCTGGCACGGGAATGGAGGTGTGATGCGGAGGGGGCGATAGTTGGGAGTGATTTTGCTTTGCTATTTCCTGGGAGGAGTCGATGTACATGTGGGGGGGGGAGCTAGCCAAAGATTGCTTTTCATTGCTGTTATTATTGAAAGCGGCGTATGGAAAGAAACGGGAAAGGGACACGGAAAGGGATAAGGAAAGGCAATATGATACCCCGGAGTGGCATCGGCATCATTAGCAATTGGCGTCTGCGCATTATAACCGATACCTACTACTAGCTCTCTCATATGATTTCTGCAAAATATATATCCGCAGCACCACCTCGTGTCTATATTCTATTCAGTAGTGGATTGTATCAAGCGTTTTGTAGATTGTGGATAGCTCAGAATCGTAAAGAGTTATATCACGAATTTATTCTCAATTTTCATATTTATTATATATATATATGTATATATATTTATTTTCTTACGAGAACGTGAACGTGACTTAAGAAACGTACATACGTAGGTATGCTGCTGCTTAGGTACGGTAGGTAGGTATGTAGATATGTAGGTAGGTACATCCGTCAGCGGGAAATAAATTATCACAGGAGACTGAAACTTGACCGATCGATCGATCGCTGAGTAGGTAAAATAGTAAAGTAAGTAAGTAAGGAACACGTGCGTGAGTTATTAGTTACGTGAGGGAAAGGGCGAGGGTTCCTTTTTTTTTTCCCTCACGGGTGTGGTGTGACGTGGTTGTCGGGCCGTTAAAGTACCTACCTACCTTACCGGTATTAACAATCGTCGGCTCGCTTAGCGGGGCCTCCTTACCGTAAGTACCGGTACCGGTACCGGTACATCCATCCTTCCAGTCTCGAGTCGGCGTAGGCAAGCGATTGCGGAATCGGAAGCGAGTGCGGATTTTTTCGCGCATACGTAAGGTATGTTGGAAAATTCTTTTCATGCTGTAATAGGTACTAGTAGTAATGAGCATTATCGTCATCACAAGCTATGAAAATATTTATATATATATAAATAATGGTTTCATCTACAGGTATACTACTACTACTACTTACTTCTTTGCGCAACGTCGAAAGATCGTGTTGTCCGATGAATTACCGAGTGCTATTTTTGTTAGCTGGCTAATTAATCAGCAGCTGAGAGAGACTAGGGCGGGGATGGAGAGAGAGGGGGAGAGAGAGAGACGGTAGAGCGAAAGGCCCGGTGGGTTTTATATTATGACTAACTATATCGATAGGGCGTCTGATTCTCAACATCGGGTTCACGAATGCCGTCTCGTGGACATAGAGTCTATTTCAGGTCTAGGAGGTACGAATAAGTAAAAATGATGTTTTTGCTTAAGGCTGTTGATAAGATCCAAGAAAGATCACGACGAGGGTTATAGAGTCATCTAGGTCCCTGGTTCGTTCGTTCGTTCATATTAGCTGTATATATATATATATATACCTGACGAGGAAGTAGATCCACCTCTTCCTTCCCTCCCATTCTTACAAGCTGAAAACCGTTGCGTGGTTTTTTGACTAAAGCTCGAGCTCTATAATATCCTCCGCCCAAAGATATCAAAGATGGGATTTCCTTGAGCCACCTTTCAAGAGGTGAAATTATGGCCCGCGAGGAAAGTCTATAATAGTAGTCCGCAAGGCGCCGGTCGCGTCAGTGTAAAATTTAGAGAGAAAGAGAGAGAGAGAGAGAGAGAGAAGTGTGTGTGTGTGTGAGAGAGAGAGAGAGAGCATGTCCGGCCCCAGGGTAACTGACTAACAGCTTTAATTGAAAGTCGCCCTGGGCACGGCCGAAGATCTCCTCAGCGGGATAATACCGTACTCACAACTACTTCGAAATGCCTTGTCTCGTAATGATCTGCCATACGTACTGGGGGTGGGGATCAGTATTCGTCCACCAGCAAACCCGGAACTGTACTGAACTGTGGAAGACGGTCGAGCCTACACACCTACCAAAAGCTGATCCTGTATAGTTCCCCGGCGCGGGATGTACCGGCGCACCAGACGTCCGTCGCCTCGTTGATCCCTCCTCGTCCAACGGTTGTCTGTTTCTGCGTTGTCCGTAAGTGACTAGGTGATACCGACATCGCAGTCGGGTGCTTGCTTGCTTGCTTTAAAGAATCCGGAATCTCGCTCAAATGAGTGACGGCCGGAGGGAAAAAAACAAAAAAAAAAAAAAAAAAAAACAAGGGAGGAGCTTGCGTGCTTGGCCTCACGCCTGCCTTCACATTTCGAGTATACGGTGTACAACTAGATCTGCGGGTATAAGGCAAGGAAAGGATAAGCCGTAGTCCCAACGGATCCGGCTCAATCAAGCCAGGAATATAGAGCCCTACTATCTCCTCCCCCCCCCTCCCCCCCCTCTACTCTAGGACGATCATCTTGCCGGCGATGGAAGAAGATATACGCTAGAGGGGGTTAGGACAACGACCTGTTTCGGACTTGGTTCGCTGGTGTGATCCAGCATTTCCCCCGACCTGCATGGTCTATCTGTCGAGGCCCGGGTCGAGGGTTTAAAAAAAAAAAAAAACAATAGATACTTCGTTCGCCACACATGTTCTGGGACGATCCCGACCCGGTGACCTTTTCGCTGCCGAATCTCGATGAATCCTCTCGCTGGTTGAGCTCGTGGAGTGGAATTGCAGCCAGCCAGCCAGCCAGCCAGCCAGCCCAAAACATCAACATCAACAGCGAAAGTGAAACCCGTCGTCTGCGGGTACAGTAACTCTCATCGCAATCGCAGTCACCGATAATTCCATACCCGGTAGAAGTATCAAACGCGTACCTACCACCTAGGACAGGTGAGCTACGATCTTAGCAAGACCACACATACATACACACACACATATATATATGCCCGCCCGCGAATCCAAACACCCTAAGCGAGCCCGGAGAATACCCGCACAATGCTATACGGTAAGAATTTACGACCTGTGACATATACCCAGCTACCACGACAGCCGACATCAAACAGCGCGGTACCTCACCATGCGTCATGCTACAGTCGCCCCCCCCCCCCCACCACGGGTTGACTTGGTGTGAACATGGGGAGCCGTGTGGGTGGTAATGGTTTGAGGGCGCCGGACTGTACGCAATCCCGCCCGGCCTCTACTGGGTTCCCTGAAATGAGGTCCGCCATCTGGCCTAGCTAGGAATGGTGGACTTCCCCCCAGTAGGAGAGGAGTCGCGGCGAGCGGGGACTTCTTTTTGGCTATTTTTTGGCCATTCTTTTTGCTATTTTTCTGTAGATGAAAAACTACTTTTTAGGGGGGCGAGGCGGCGGGGAGGGAGGGAGAGGGGGTGGGGGGGGGGTCGTGATTCATCTCTTCCTCGGAACTAAAAAGAGAGGGAGACGCGTTCTGAGCGCGTTCTGAGCGCGCGTTTCTTCTCTCGCCTAGCGGCGAATTTTTAAACCAGGTCAAGAAAGAGGTAGGCTTCTCGTCGCTTTGAGCCCGTATCTTTCCCGCGGGCGGTGGTGCCACTTCACTCGCCTGGTGGCGATCACAGCATGCACGCATGCGCTCGCTGTCGGCAGAAATCAGTACAAGAAATGGAGGCTTTGCCCTAGATGAGATCGCTTTGCATACTCGCCATGGGTGCTGCGAATTTTGGATGGGTGGCCCGCTGCTCGCTGCTGCCGTCGCTTGGAATTGAGGCGTGGAAGTGTACCAAGACAGGGTACGGTGAAGCCGGAAATAAATTTCTAATATGCGAACGTCTCCGATCCTCAGATTTCGCATGAGTTGATCGACCTTTCTCCTGCGGTAGAGGCGCGCTCGTGTACCCCAAAATCGTGGGTACATGCCGTCAAATTCAGCCCTTTGACTGACTGCCCTCGCACAAGGCTCAAGGCTCTCGCTCTCTGCTGCCCAATCCATCACCTCCCCTCTGCTGCAGCGGGCTTACTGACGCTCCCCGTAGATATTGACTCATCTTTGGGAAGAGGTGTTGTCTTCTCTTCGGTGGGCGTCGGCGGTGACTGTGCTTTCGTTAGACGATCCTCTGTGTACGCTTCATGGCTGGACGGAGCCAATTTCAAAAAAAAGATTTTATATTGAATTTAAATATATATACATACACATATATATATATGTATATATTGAAGAGCGTGGAGTTGGAAGGAAATCGAACCTTTGCCTTTCTAGCAAGCGCAATCAGGGCCCTGAGGTCTCCAACGAGTATGATAAACGAGCCCAAGAAAAACGGCGCGAGCAAAAGTTTTATCTGCCATCCCCGTGTATCGAACAAGAGATCGAAATTGACAGGAAACATCTTGCTGTCGTCCTCCTCTGCTACCACTTTGTAACCTGGAAAAAATGTGAGGATGCCGGAAGGAACTTCAATGATAATGCTGTCTTGGGAGAAGAGGGAGATGAAGACGCTGAAGCTCTTCAAGTGTGATTTGTGCAGCCCCTGAACTAGACTTCTCGGGGATTGGCCAAGCTTCAGTGCTTGGCTCATCTTTGGGAAATGGAAAATTCCTGCTTGTGTTTTTCACAAATTTGCAAAGATGGATTGACCAGGGAGCTTGCCAGTCCCTGGCTTTTCCGCCGATGGGATGGGTTGTCCAAAGCTGGCGATGAGGAGGACAGAGAGGTGAGGTTCTCGAAGTGAAGACTCTGCAAATGCGTGCCTGATAGACAACTGAAGCCTTAACACTTCGTAACTTCGAATGTTAGGGGCATTGGAAAGAAACATGTGTAAGGTTTCAATACAGTCGATAGGAGGTTATTAAAGCGAAGTCCAGCTCTAGTATCGCATCAACAAGTCGACGCACGTGACCTTTTGGTCATCAGCACCTAGCTCAATTATACCAGATTCGGTACTTGACTGCAGATACCGAAGGCAAGATCTTGAGTACGGATCCATGCTGTCGAAGGATGTCGATTATGAACCTGTAGCCAAGTACCTACGTAAGACTATTCAGCAAGACACTGAACTGTTGTCCAATTGGGAGTTTCTGTAGCACACCTGATGGAAAGCTCCATGTACGTACCTACGGTCCACTAGGTAAATTCTCTCCGCTGTATTGACCTGGCTTCTTGAAGAATAGCTTTCTCTACTATTCCCATTCATCCCGATCAAACTCCTATGCATCCTGGCTCCGTGTATCGTATCAAAGCAGGCCCACACAGAGCTCTTTAACTGTAGCGCTCAGCTGTCGAGGGTCAATCCTCCTCTAGACTAATACTTCATGCGATTCGACGGAGTTCACTAAGAGAAAGCGTTTCTCTTCAGCGTCTCGTTCCTGCATCCGAGACTCGATATGCTAGAAATATATGTTTGTTATCCGCTTGCTATGATGCCAGACCTGGAGAAGCAGCTGGCTCGTCGTCGGAGGAGGATAGCCGATACAACCAAAGCGGATTTTGGGTTAGCGTCAGCTGGATCTTTACAGAATAACATTATCAATCCGTGGCAAAACATCCCCAGTTACACTTTCAATACTCAAGGTTCAGTCCGACGGTGGCGTATTATTGCTCGTCGCTCCCATCTCTGCTGATATCGCTCTTTGATCTTACTTATCAACAGCCTTGATTAATCTCATTTTTACTTACCTCCTCGACCTCAAATAGATTCAAAGTCTACGAGACAGCCTTCATAATCTCGATCGTAAGAAGAAGAAGAAAGTCTTGCTCTCAACCACCGTAGAGGGTTCTGGCATCCTCAAAGAATCCATCGCCCAGATTTCCACGTAATTTAGTTCCTGCTCTTGGTGTACCCAACAACCAAGAAAATCGGTACTCTTTCCACAGGATTTGATGCAAATTTCCCAAGGCAGAGAGGGTGCAAAAAAGAAGTTGGCAAAGACATACAACAGCAGGTATTCGCTGGTGGTCACCCACCCAACTACTAACCTGCCGATCTGAGGCTTGTGTATGGCAGAGCGAACGGGATGCCCAATTCTCCTCAGTCTATGGTCGTATGTGACGGGTGACTCAGTATCTGCTATTATATTGACAATTTTGTGGTACCGCGAATGGAAACAGATATGAATTCCACGCTATGACGCTCTATCGATGTAGTCAATCACAATACGAAACTCACCGGGCCTCTCGCTATACCGATCCGCTATAGCGCCTCGCTTGCTCTCTCTCTCTCTCTGCACAGCGTGACTTTCCTGCTAGACGTATGGGGGCATCTCGAGGGCAGTAGATGGTGGTCACTCGGCTCTTGCCATTCATTCCTACTGTACTCCGCAGATCGATAGACTGTATTCTGTACGGAATGCATCTTATCTTGACGTTGGGAGACTAGTCTGCTGGGCGAGTGGCAACAGTCGGGCCAGGAATTCACAGAAATGAATCGATCCAGGATGTTTACATTGGGCTAGCCCCGAGGACTAGCGGATCTTGGCAAGGGATTAGTGAAGCCAACTTCAGGAACGCTCCAAACCTTCTCCATACCACTCTTCATCACGGCTTTACTTCTACAGAGTACGGACTTTACATACAATCACTTGGATGATTCATGTTATTGTATTGTATAGTATTGTATTGTACTATCTCCATTTCTCTTCCTCCTCTCTGCGCATCGATTCTTCTCCCTGCTGTGATTTCAGTCCATTTGTTCAATTCGTTGTTTTCTTTTGCCCGGACAAGGTGACACAAACTCCCTGTCTCGTCTCACCCGGGCTCGCTGCTTTTACGTAGTACTCACACTCAATTCTCCACTCTCCACTCTCTCTCCTCTTTCGATTCGCTGTAACGTCCCGGGGAGTTGGGATAGCGGCCCTAGCAAGGCCCACCCAGACAGGGCATGTGACTCAAAGTCACGATTTTTGGCGTCGGATCGCGTAAAGTGCTTTTCCTGATCCCTACCTAAAGGCGCGTCCCCCCGAGGCCGCCTTGACCCAAGCCGCGTTTTTGCCCGAGAGCAGTATGCGGTGTATATATAGCTGCCTCCTCTCCCCTCTTATCTTCCCCCTTCTGTTTCTGTTCTGCATTACATCTCCGTGTCCAATCCTCGACGACACGACAATCTGGCAATTTATCGACAAAATCCAGCAAACAACGACATAGCAACATCGACATTGACGAGGTAGCCGATCAGCAAGAGGCTTTTGTACGATACGATAAAGTAACACTTATTACAAAAGCTGAATCTGCAGGAAGAGAGAGCAACATGTTCAGCCGCAGTGTCAACAAATCAAAAACCGAGAGCTTCTCCAGAAGCAGTCGACGCGGCATCAAGAAGTCCTCATTTCGGGACCACGCCGTGTCGAAGAACAGATCAGAGAGGTCCACAATCCGCAGACCTCCAACCGAAGAAGCAAACCCGATGGGCAGGTAGGCTACCTTTCCCACCTCTCACTCCGCAGAGCCATTACACTCACTAACAACCTTCCCAAACAGTACCCTCACATCCCCTATCATCACCATCGTCGTCGGCCGTGAACAACGCCTTTTCGCCGCCCATGAAGACGTCCTCTGCACCTCCCCCTTCTTCCAAGCCGCCTGTCGTGGCCAGTTCATGGAAGCGAGCACCAAACGCATCTTTCTGCCCGACGAAGAACCCGAGATCTTCTCCTCGGTGCTCGAGTACCTGTACAAAGGCGACTACTACCCGAAACTCGTACACAACAAGCGGAAGAACACTTGGGATTTGGAGATGGTCGGTGGACAGGGCAGTGTGGAGAGCACCGTCTATCATCATAGTGTAGATGGGGAGCTGTTGAAAGATACGTTGATCTACTGCACAGCAGAGAAGTTTGGGTTGGATGAGTTGAAGCGGGTGGCGCTGAGGAAGCAGGGTTTGCGTATGTCTCTCGAGGTTTCCACTCTTCCACCTCTCCTCCAAGCTTGACACTCACTGACAAGCTGCGAACACAGAATCCGGCATCCAATGCTCCACTATCCTCAACTCCGCCCGGTACGCCTACGCCAACACGCCCGACACCGACTCCAAACTCCGCGCTCACTACCTCGCTCTAATCATTCGCTCGCGCGGCACCTTCAAGCGCAGTGGCACCATGCAGATGGAGATGCAGGCTGGGGGGTCTCCGCTGTTCTTTGACTTGTTCGTCGCGCTGTGTAACCACGTTGACGACGTTGCTAGTGTCGTGTAAGTTCTCCTGCCTTCTCGAGAACCTCATCCCCAAGGCTCGACCGTATCTCGTGATCGATGACTGATTAATATTATGTAGGGAATCACCACGCAGTGCCCGGACTCACTACTAAGTCACGAATCTACGGCCTGGCACACGGTCCATCTCGCGACCTACCCTTGACTCATCAACTCCTAATTTTTCTTCTCATACAACCGATAGACATTGTCTTCACTTCACACTCTCCTGCGGCTTCTGGACACCTCGTCAATAATCTGGGATGGCTTGCTCTATTATCTCTTGGTCATGATTTGATACCAGGCGTCCGGTATCAGGCGTTCAATATGGGATATGGACGGACGCTTGAACGCAGCACACACAACACAGCCCTTGTATTTCTAACCTTCACCTGGTGGCTGTTTAGGCTGGCTCAGATCATTGTATTTTCTCAATTCCTTGCTGTATTTGCTTGCTACATGTTACACGCGCTGCTTTACTCTACTCCTCTCCTCTCCTTAGCTCGCCTCCCAGTCTCTTTGGCGTGTCATAACTCATTTGATTCTGTCTGCCCCCCAAGGAAAAGAGAAGAAAGGGGAGAGCGAGTATACCATGTATGGTTTCTCGTTATTGTATCTCATACTCATGCCTGGTCGTCTCTGTGACTGTCATTGTCCTTTGCTACAATATCTTCCCATCTATCTATACATTTATCTAATCGACGGGACTCCAAGACTTGCCTCTAGGCACGGGCTGCGAGCTGCGGAAGTCCCTCGGAGGCCTTGACTGGCCAATGGAAGTGGGAAGGAGACTGGACTGCGATGGAGGAACTCCGTATAGCCGTGGGCCTATGAGAAAGATTGAAGCTGGATTCAGCGAGCGGATGAGCGAAAAGAAGAATGACGGATGGTCTAGGCAAGGCAAGGCAAGGCAAGGCAAAGCTGCTTTGTGAATAAAGGTTTATTCACCATATCGATTAGATTGATGTGTTTATGTGTATCTATATCAATATCAATATCAATATCAATATCAATATCAATATCAGAATTGATATCAATATCAATATCCAGATCAATATCAGAATTGATATCAAAATTGATATCAAAAGATCAGAAGTGCGAGTATGGATAGATAGATAGATAGGTGAACACGAGAGACCACGAAGGAGAATGGGAATGAGAATGAGAATGAACAGGCAGCCAGGAACAAGGAGGAGGAACGTAATATGATACGATACGATATGATACCATATGATATGATAGGTATCCTGGGAAAGAAAAATTGAGTACGGAAGTGGGCGATGCGAGTTAGTTAGTCAGTCATCATCATCATCATCATCATCATCATCATCATCATCATCAAAGGGGGAGCAGCTTTTCCTTTCGACGTGATGAGTGAGGGTGGGTTGCGTGTATGTATGTACGGAGCATGTATGTATGTATGTATGTATGTATGTAAGTACACGGATGACCAACAGACGGACACGGAGGAACACGAGGTAGGTACTGTGGGTGCTCAGTCGCTCGATTGGTCATCTGGTAGTTATTTTCGTCGATCGGGAGCAGCGGAGAGGTATGGGTGGGTATAGGTATGGGTATAGGTATGGTATGGTTGTCGATGCGGGAGGTGTGTTTATTACAGGGTGTGGGGGGGGGGGGGGGGTATGGGAAAAATATGAGTGAGGGGGGCAATTGTTTAGGTATGCGCGCAAGCGATAGTCATATCTGCGTGGATGGATGGATTGATGATTGATATGATGGGAGCGTGTGGCTAGTATACTAATAGAGTAGTAGTTGATGGTCACGAGGAAGCTTCTTGTGATGTGTGGTTGATTGACTTGTATTCTCTAGAACTAGGAATTGGGACGAGGTTGTAGGTACGGTAGTATAGGAACCAGTGCCAAGGTCTGAGGTCCGTGCACTGCCTTGGTGGCCCATGTACCCTGCTCTCCTTCCATATTACCTAGCAACAGAGTGTATGAGCAATAAGATAAGTCTGCTTGCTGTAGGTACGTACTTGATGAGATTGAGTGGTAGGTGGTTGATACTGATACTGCGTGGATATATGAGGAGGGGGAGTCTTAGACGCCAGTACCGGGGAAGGCTCCAGCCTTGCTGAGGACGACGAAGCCACGCTCGCGGGCTATATAGCCTTTCATTAGGTTCTGAGGGAGGTGGCACGGGGTATTAGCCAGATAGGTTCACGAAGATGATAATTTGTGCGGGGACGGGATGTGTATGATTGATTGGTGTCGGGTGTGAGTGAGGTGAACGATAAAGGACATTGCCTGGCCAGGCTGCTATCATGTTAGGGCAGGTAAGGGACGCCTTAAAAGGGCGTACAGTCCAGCCCGTGAAAGTAAAGAGAATGTGCAGAAGGGTGTTTACGATGAAAGCAAGAGATGGACATACCTTGTAAATCATCGTACTTAACAAACACTCCACCTCATCCGACTCCATCTGCTCCTTGCTCCCAATGCTGATCGCTGCCCCAAACTCCGCAACCGGGATCCTCGTCCTCCTCACCGGCGCCGCTACATCTTTCGACGCCTCGAAACCGCCTGCGATGAACACCTTTCTAAGTAGATTCCGCAGCGCAATGTCGCGGCCCCGCTCTAGTGTGAGGTAGATGCGACGTTTCGTGAACTCGTCCTCGCCGGCTACCAGGGCGGCGTCAAAGCCAGCCAGGTCACCGCGCTTGATACAGCGACACAGAGGCAGGAAGAGCTCTTGCAGGTGGGGGTATGGTGCTAGGAGCGTGGCGGAGGGCAGGGTGTGGGTGGTTAGGAGGTGGCAGGGTATAAGGTAGGTGAGGATGAGCCTACATATTTGCTATTAGTGTTCCTCCGAGGGCTTTGGATTTGATAGGATTTGCAGGGACACACTCTTTGTTGTGGATTGAGTCTTGGTGGCACATCTTCCAGGCTTCGGTGAGATGTTTCTCAGCCTAGGGTGCTACCTTAGCTGAAGTTCATTGGAGAGGTCTTATTTGGGATAGGCAGACCTCTTCGTAAGCTTCCTCGAGGAAATAGATGACTCCGATGTAGTATTTGAATGTCACCTGGTGGGCTTTCGGAAAGGCATCCAACGCTGGCATGTCTCCGCGATAGGCCTGGATCGCCTTGAGGACGTTCTTGGACAGAGACACGGAGTTGAGTTTGAAGTAGGTTTTGAAGAGGAGATTGATGATATTGTAGATCCCCCATTTGCGGGACTCCTCGAGTGGTGCTCTGACGTTGTCTATAGTCAATATCATTGCTTCACTGCGGGTGTGAGGGGCTTACCTGTCGCTGAGACAAATCGTGAATATCCTGTTTAGATGTCTTGCAGCATCCTCCAACTTTTCGTTCTTCTCGGCCTCGGGATTGAAGTCATCAAAGTTAGTCACGGAGCTGGTGGTTGCGGCAGCACCCTCGTCTGCCTTGATAGCGAAGATTCTAAGGTATTTGCCTGCGACGTAAAGGCAAGGCACTGTCCAGGCTTCGAAGCCATTGTTGGTGTATCCTCTGACGAGAGCCAGAGTCATATCACGCCATGCTTCATAGACTTTGACGTATGATACCTGGATATTGTCAGCTTGAACTTGACCTTTCGGGATGGAGAGGATAGTGATGGGATGTTGGATGTCACGTGAATGGTGAAGCCGAGGAGACGAGAGGTTTTGCTTGGGAAGTGTTTTGAGCTTCAACATGGGCTCAGATATTTCGTGCGTGTCTGCATTGCAATTTCAATGTGATCCTTCCTACCTTCGCATCCGCTTCAGCAGCACTGTCTGCCTTCAATATCTCCCCAACCGCCTTCCAGTAAGCAACGTAGACCTCAACCCATCCATTTCCTTCCTCTGTCGGGAGGGTAAATGGAGTGTTGTTGCCGTTCAAGATTCCGTTCCGAATATCTCTCTGGGCTTGAGCATGATTTGTACTTCGAAAGAATTTGCTGAGTCGGTCTGGTTCGCCCGCTGGTGATACAGGAGTCAAGGTCATGGAAAGATCGTAGCCATTACCCTCCGAGTATGCCTTTCCGAACTCTGCGAAGATACGGTCCATCTTGAATGTGTGATGAGTAAGCGTCCGTGGCTGCAAACCGTGGGATGTCGTGAGACTTTGCTGGAGCCACGTGACTTCCACAGTGTAAGTGGTGATCTTGGGAGGTCAAACGCCCGTTAGGAGTGCATTGTCGGCGAAGACCGGAGCCGTGAGAGCCTGAGTTGGGAATTATTACTCGTCGCCGCCTTGAAATCGAAACATTGAACCGTTGCACCAGTCCATCATGATCTGTTGTTGTTGTTCCGCGTTTGGAGAGTCTGTTGTGGTCGAATGAGGCTTAGCTTCAGCAGCTATCACGTGTTGGCTTTCGCTAAAGTGCCGAGCGAGCGGGCCACACATAGAATTTTGAGCGCAATCTGCAAAAGTCCGTTCAACGACAATTTCGACAACCGGCCAACGATACAAAGTAAGTCGCCCTGTTCCGAATCGCCTCTTGATCAATTACTGACTTATCGAAGATGGGTAAGCTCTAGTTTTCTTTCCTCCCTCTGCTCCAGGATCCGGCGACGGCACTCCCACCACAGCGACGGGGTCGATATTCGAGGACGAAGCGACGAGGACTTTTAGGACTGCCAATGTGCTGAGAAAACTCGGTAATGTCTGGGACGGAAGGAGAGATTGAACAATCGAAACGAGACAGCAGGAGCGCGGGGTCGAAGGTTGTGGTGTTGAAGGCCTGGGTGGAGATAGGGACAGACGACACCCACGGCATGGCGAGTCCTGAGCCTACGAGCCATTCCTGCCGGACAGTGTCGCGAACTGGCGTGAGACTTGCGACGGCATCCGAAACTTACCAAGCAAATCGTACTTCATACCTGTATCAACAGCAATATTCGAGCGCGCACGACAAGTCTACACGACCGCAGACTCAAGATACTGGATGGCGCGATACTGGATGGCCCAGCTAACGTGCCCCCTCAGGTCGTCTTACAGAATACCAGGTCATTGGCCGTCACTTGCCAACTGACGCCAACCCAGCCCCCAAGTTGTACCGCATGAGAATCTTTGCCACCAATAGCGTGGTTGCAAAGTCTCGATTCTGGTACTTCTTGATGAAGCTCCGCAAGGTCAAGAAGGCGAACGGAGAGATCGTCAGCTTGAACGTCGTACGTAGCATCAGACTCATCCGCACATTCAAGTACTGATCTCAACCCCCAGATTCACGAGAAGCGCCCCCAGAAGGTCAAGAACTTCGGTATCTGGATCCGATACGACTCCCGCTCCGGCACCCACAACATGTACAAGGAGTACCGTGAGATGTCAAGAACCGATGCTGTTGAGGCTCTATACCAAGACATGGCTGCCAGACATAGATCCCGCTTTAGGTCGATCCACGTACGCGCCCCAACTCTGCTCTTCGAAGTTTGTATGCTAACAATTCCCAGATCCTCAAGGTCGTTGAGCTCGAGAAGACCGACGACGTCAAGCGCCCCTACATCAAGCAACTCCTCACCAAGGATCTCAAGTTCCCCCTTCCTCACCGCGTTTCCAAGTCTACTGGCAAGAAGATCTTCTCCGGCAGCAGACCATCCACTTTCTACTGAGCGTGGGTTGCTGGTGGTTGATGGGTTATTCGGCTTGGGAATGGAAATCCGGTGTTGCACTGCATATGGGTTGTTTTTCTCGCCCTCGCTGCTAGATGAGCCACAGAAATGAATGGCAATGCGTAGCAAAACTCGATTACGAAACAATGGGAATGGCTTTCTGGAATTCGTGATGTGTTAAACTTGGAGGTAGGCTAAAGGCCGGCGCATTGCGAGAGTGCAGCAGATGTGTTCTAAATTCCGAGATAACGAGATACAGAGAGTTGCAAGTGGACTCTGCTTTGTATGGCAGACGGGACAAAACTTCACTACCTTGAACCCCCACATTTCTCCCTGTCCCGCGCTCCCTTTGCTTTCTCGTTCTACTTGCAAATACTCACTTCATTGACGGATATTCTCACAGCTCAGGATTGCCATAAACAACAACCGGTTACTGCCCTTCAAGATCCCACCCCGTTACTGTTCACTCGGCACTCTCCCATGAATCCTGGATACTAGCCCTTCAACCTCAACCGGCAGGTGGCTCATAGTTACCGACCCACAGGTATCATCATCATACTGAAACTCTGTCAGTACATGCAAGCCGAGGTCGTCGACAACGACCCGACGACCTTAACGAATCTGCTCGAAGATGACAAAACCTACTCGTTGGGGTTGTCGCTTGTTTCCCTGTCCCAGTCGCTGCTGTCGAGAGAGAGAGAAGCTAGTTTGCACTACTAGGACGACGACGATATAGGTTTGGAGAGGCCATGCTGCTAATTTGGATTCGACGACCTGGATGGCGGCTTTACACAGTCTCTGGCTAGCCCATGTGCACAATGATTTGATTCTTCATTGCTAATTGTGCTAGGCACGGACCGTTGGTGACTTCGGGGTTTGCTTACGAAGGCCAGCGCTTGGAGAGGGCAATGCTTGCTTACTAACCTGGACTCCTTTCGATGTTGACCAGTACCGGTATGTGGTAGTAGCTTGGGGAAGCTTCACCAACACACGGCAGGAGACGGAAGAAAGTACCGTTTGGAAATACAAGGGCAAGAAAACGCTTTACCAGGCGGACGAGGCAGTAATCTTCGATAAAGAGCAGGCTTCCTTCGACACCTGACACCTGCATCGTGTTTTAACCGGAATGGGCTTGTATTGTAACTCTCATTAACCGTGTCTCTAAGCGTCCGTAACTTCGCCTACCAGCCCAGAAACGGCGTTGATACTCACTGATGCTTCACTAATGCTCCGGAACGGATGTCTCCTAAAATTATTCCCTTAGCCTGCTTTGTATATATGTAAGTACATCGAGAGCGACTTTTATTTGCACATATACACATATCTTTCTTTCTCTTTAAGCGTAACACTTTTTTTATCACTGATTATTTTCCGTCTTTTTCCTTTACCTTACACCTTTCAAATCCGATTCAAGCAAGTCTTCTTTTGACTTTTAATATCAAGAACAACGCTTTTCATCTTGCTTCTGAATCTTGATAAATCCCAGGCAAGAGAGCGTAGCGCTAAGCGCTAAACGTAAAGAAAAAGCGCGCCTCTTCCACACAGCCAGCCTCCACTCTACTATTCCGGCAAAAAGGCAAATCCACCCTCGAATACAAATCAATTTCTCCGCTTTGTGGTCTCGGCCTACGAAAACACCCCGCTGCGTCTTGGTTCACAAGGGTTTTTTTTT